GAGGTGTGCATTCTAATGCTCCAGCTCTTCGTCTGAGCTGCTGTCAGAAAGAGTCAGACATTCAACACGGTCATGTTTCCTTGATGTGTTTGTTATCAATGGCATGTGTCTCACTGACAAGCTTAGAATTTCTTCTTACTGCTTCATAATAAATTTCACCCCTAACAGTTTTTCATATGTACCAGACCAATCATTTTTAAAAATATTAATTTTTACCTCAAACTGCAGACATACAAACAAAAAAAAAACAATATTCGGTAAAATCAAGAAACTATCTTTTAGTGATTGTTCATGAATGAATCCCTGGGTTTCACCTGTATTTCTAGGATTAACCTGGACCCTCTCTCTTCTGAGCACTAGACAAGAGTTCTTTGCTGTTTATTTATTTTTGTCATTTTTCCCATCATCATTTCACATTCTCCACATGTAGATGCCTGTAATCCTCCACATCAGACAGGAGCAGCAGTTACTCCATTAGCAGGGTTTCTCTTGTTGATGACAAGCAGGCCATTGGTTGGCAGGGGAATCTTGTTAGGCTCCTTATTGACATTATGTTTCATTAACTTGATTAATGACATCTATTGGGGCATGCTCCACACTAATCAACATCTCTGCACAGAGAGGCTGCAGCCACAGAGGAGACACTCTGGGCCTTCCTCTTCCCCATGGTCAATATGACCTTTCTCCGTCTCTGCCTGACCATTGTCTTTGCGGAAAGAGATGTGCTCAAAATTAGTCTTTGGTTTGTTTTCCATTTGGAAAACCTTTATGAACTTTTCGTTTTTCATTTTTGTATAAGTTGACATATACATTCACTTCTGTGAGGATCCATTTTTAACTAACACATACAAGATGTTGATTTCATGCAAAGAGAGCTAATGTTATTGTATTTTCCAATTGTTTCCTGTGCCCCATCAGACCTCAATACATCCACAGCTATTGTTAACTTTATTTTAGCACAAAGCAAATGTATATAGCGGAGCTGTGAATGTGAGATAAGAAACTTCCTGCCACAAATAACGGAAATAGAAATATACATTTAAAAAAATAATAATAACAGAGCAGAGTATGGGACTGCCCTTCAGACACCTTTTAAAAATATATCTACCTGGGGTCTGTATTTTTTTGGATTCCTTGGGAGGTATTTGCAGAGACTTCTTCCAGATTCTTCAATCCTAATAAAACACCAGACTCTTTTTTTCATAGAATGACTTCCCTTCCCTTGGCTGTCTCTGACTCTGCTCGGGCAATTAAGTGTTCAGGGAGTGACAGACGTAATTGATGAACACCCACAGACAAGTGGGTCTCCTTCTGTCCAAGCACAGAGCAGACTAAGACATTACCCAGTCTCCTCCTCTTAATTACACTTGTATTTAGTCGACCAAAACAAACTCCACGCACACCTTTCTCAGTGAAGGAAATTGTGCACCAACAGGGGCAGTTGCAAGGAGGGAATATGAAAACTTCCACTCACAGAATATGATACAGCTCATGCGATGGATGGCGTCTTCCAATCGCCCACATCAATTTACATACACGAGAACTGGTGGACTCACCATCCTCCCGAGACTTCTGCACAAAAGCTTCAACACCACTCTCTCCATAGTTTCCCTCCGAGGCCACCGTGGCCACATAGTTCCATCGCATGGCCTTGACGATGTCCAACATGGCCTGAACCTGGTAGGTGTCTGGAGGGACCACCCGTGAGAAGAAGTCGTAGCGGGTGTTATCGCTGAGTTCTGGAGCAGTGGAGGCATAGCTCACCTGGGGGATCTGTGCAAAGTAGATGAAATGCACAATGAAAACCAGAAAAAAATCTAAGTATTTGAGTTACAGCACATAACAGAAAATACAGAAAGTAATGTATGCTGTAATGGATGTTTTGAAGAGAGTGAAAAATTACTAATATTTTTATGTTTAATAATAATGAAAAGTTATAGAAAAAATGTCTAAGTTCTCATTCTCCACAACACATTTGAATGACATTTTATGCATAGAAACATGATTTTGAATAAATTTGAAAATGATCGTTAAAGTTTTTTTTTTTTT